AGACATAGAGAAAGCATGCACACGAAGTCATATTTTATAATCTTCAACTCACATTATATTTATAATCGCATGGTGCAAGTCTGTTACCTTCAAGAACTTCAGCACCGTCGTCGACGCATTCGCCCTCGATGACCTATCAGGTCGACATTCAAGTTGTTCTCTGCCCATTGTAGCGAGGGCTGTCGCAGAGGATTTGCTCCAATTATTCCTCGCTACCGCAATTGCCGCAAAAGGGGTTGTCAACCATTTCAATTCGAAAAAAAAGACACAAAATGTCCACATCAAGCTTTCAGGTCGTGACTGCGCTTTGTAGGAAATTATGTGCTCTAATAATTAACAACACGACATCTGCTTTAATACTACGATAATCGTCTACGAAAGAGTTTCAGAGGAAAAGAAGCAAGTGTCGTTGAAAGTGAAAGAAAAAAAGTTGATTTCGTTTTATCGTTCTTCTATCGGCTGCGCAATTACTCAATGTCTAGACTGCAAGGCTCTCATATGGTGGCATTCAGTAATGTACACTTCAAATACATCATATGTTCCTCATTGAAGAGTTTAAAACCATCTCTGTACTATGCTTGTACGCTACTGCTTGTAGAACGCACTGTGTGCCATAGAAGTGCGTGGCTTCCTATCAGGCAGCTTCAAGTTACCTTTAGGTGCGTGGGGGAAGAATTAAGTTCTCTTTCAATGCCTCTATCTTTTGCACTTTGGTCAAGCCAAAAGGCCTCAGCTCGTCAAAAACGTGGCTAAATAAGGCTCAAAATGCACGAACAATAGAGAAAAGATGAGCTGCCTTTGAGAATGGCTTTATTATTTCCGGGGATACCCTGCTGTACAATTTCTAGCGAACTAACAACAGCGTCCCACCACCTACAAACACAACGATCGAAAGCACCACCCAGTATATTAGATTAACAGCCGTCACAATTTTATAGACCCAACAAAGTGCACTATGTCTGGAGAAACCACCACATCAGTAGGACAGTGTTTTTTGCTCCCTACAACTAAATAGCGCCCTTTAGTACGGCTACACTTATCAAATAAGAAGTGGCCGCTTTCGGTTAAGCCCAAACTCGCTTTATTGCCTTGAAAATAATTCTCGACGTATATGCTCGCCAATTCACTATAATATTATTAATAGAAACCACGAGAAACCAGAACGCTTCAGAATTACAGTGAAGATAACTAACTATATATTACTCATGTTGTCGCTGCTCAGCCATTTCGCAGCAGCTGATTCTATTTCTCCCTGTAAATTTTGTAAATACATTTCTTCCTCCTGCACTCTCAACTGTGAAAATATTTTCGCGAGCATGAAACTACAAAATCGCAGCGTTGGCTCATTCAGGCAAGTTGCACGCTTACAGACTGTAGATCTCAATTGCGGTGGATTGTCCTCGGTCGTAGTGAATTGTCTTCCCATTCATATAAGTTATATTTTTCTGCCTAATGGCTCACCTCAAAGTCACCTAGTCCTCACGCTGAACACAATTTGGCATGTTTGTACTTTATTGGTTTCGCCATTAGCCACAAGGGCTTACTTTTCACACCTAAGCAAATTCAATTCATCAAGAATGCTTTTACACTAAACGATACAGAGAACAGTGAGAGACATATGGCAACTGGACGCACATCTGCAATGATGCACATGATTAACAAGCGTCAGTGTCGCTGAGACTAAACTGAGAACAAGAACATATTATTGCGGCACATGGTGACGCCTGCTATGGCAGAGCTGCTTGCTTCAGAAGCTGCTATAAATTATATTCCGTCGGGGTTGCAGTGCGAACACCATATGTGGGTTAAGTCGTTTTACAAGGGCTGTAATTTTCATCATAAGTCTGGCCAGATAATTTTGTAGGGGTGAAGGGCTCAATCAGTTTTCATGTAGGCTTGTGTGCGTATTTATTGCCTGCCCACATATACACACATGCTAAATTTGCAAACACATGCAAAAAAAATCCTGTGAAATCATTCAGATTCCTCACCCTCCTTTTACCAGTCTAGAAACGCCAGAGAATTTCTCTTATGGTTGATTTTCAACATTACGGTATTCACACACGCAGACACGCCCACACAAAGCGTGAATACTATTCAAAACAGATCGCTTATTTCACAAATCACTACTTCCACTTTACTTGTTACGCAAACAGCCAATCTTTAATTCATATATTGGAAAATGACCATGCATTGAAAAATGTCGCGATATGTGAAGCTAATTTGAATAAACTAAAAAGTGTTCTAGTCATTTGTACAGGGGTAAGGGAGGCGATTTTGTTTAATAAAAGTTTTAAATGTAGTTACGAAGATTCACACATATTAGGTGCAAATATAGCTAACGTTGACGTAAAGGATGATGGCTTTCAATGACGAAGCCACGTTGAAGAAACAAGTGCAAGTGGAGCCTTCATTACTTAAGGTGGTTGGTTCGCCTTCGTTATTACAGCAACCACCTTCTCTATAGGAGCATTCTTTATATTTTCGCTTATTTGAAATAGCAGTGGTTCACTCAGACACCTTGCAGTGTAATGAAGGAAGCAAATTTTGAGGGCCGGCTTCATTGTTTAACACAGCTTTCATAAAAAAAACCAAGCCATAATGAAGCAAAAAGGGCTCTAAGAGACACGTATTGCTTGAAACGCATTGTAGTAAATGTGATACAGATGTGAATATAAGAAAGTGTACAGGACAAGAAGTTTCCGTCGTTCCGGAGTGATGTCGATATCTTTTTTTATCATCTGTCGGTTGGCACGGTAACTAGGCACTCCATAATAACTGAGGCCATGCAAAGCGAACGATGGCTGATATATCAGGGTGCCGTACTACCACATATTCGAGGCAAGAATTCGAAAGTAAAGATATGTTGAAATTGCGCGAACAAAAACAGTGGCCACCAGGCCACCACCGATGCTTATACTGACGCGGGTTATCTTTTATGTACACGTGACACAGGCCAGCTTGTAAATCATGTTCTCGGTGCGGAAGTTCATTGTATATGAACAGCGATCTAGCATGCCAGGAATACGGTCGCTGACAGGCTGCCTCAGAGATTTTCTCACTACATCGAAGCGAAGCCCCAAGCCTGCTTGAAAAATTCACTTGTACTTGCGGAAAAACATACTACAAATAAGAAAGACACTGGATTTTGTCGATTTTTTGGAATTCGGGGTAACAGCTATAGTTGTGCAGCTGTTAATAACGTGAGAATTACTTCCTTCAGCCTTATCTCATTGTCTTAAGAGAAGCGTACGTAACTATACCACAAACCGAAGTATTTGCTGTTTCACTGATATAAATTTTTGCATGCAAATAAATAACGTTACAAAGCATTACGAAACCAAAATGGAAGGGAACCTTTCTCAGAGGAATAATAATAAAATCGCAAAAAACATGTTGTTTCAACACGGTAACAACCATTAACTTATGTAGGCGGTACTTTGAAGCTATTTTCGACTGTTAGAAACGAATCTTTTATTGCACAGAAGTAATCCATCAATTAGGTAAAACTCTTCCCTTACATCTTTCTTGAGCCTTAGGAAGGTTGGCTAGCGTGTTAGCACTTGGTGTGAAAGCACGCAATGCATAGCAAGCATACAAAATATCCACTGCACTTGCTTTTCACTGGCATTATTGACGCATTGAGTCATGCTGATTTTAAAGGTGAAAGCCCATCGTGATTAGTTAAATCGTGCGAAAAAAACCCCCTCACCCCTTTTAGGCTTACTAGAATTGAAAATATAAGGGTGAGAAGAAAGAAAAGTGGACGAAAAAACTTTTAACACTTGCCCATGACATACATACCTTGTAGTGGGTGTGTCATGAGCAAGCACCACTTTTCGGGAAACATTCATTTTTTTTAGGTTTGCAGAAATTCACGATAATGTTGTCCCCGTGAGAGTGACCATAGAAGTAGCCGACATTTCTTGTACACGAAGTCAAAGCTTGAGGAGGTAGCCATTGTAAGGCAGGTGTCTTATTTAGAACGAAGTATTGTTTTGTATGAGTGTTGCGAGGCTGATTCTCTGCAGTTTCACATTATTAAGCAGCCGTCGTGATAATCTCAGAGTCGCAACAACATTGAGTTTAGTGATCACGCATAGTTGACCTATTCATATTGGCTCATTGAGTAAACGACACTCGCTTTCATCATGGATGCACTTCACGTCACGGAGAAGAATGCAGCTGCAGCAACACCGTTCAGAAATGGTAAGGAAAGAATGTGACTGATGGTTTAAAGACCGAAATATTCCTAATTATTGAGTTCTGCTCTTCTTTTGAGCTTAACCAACGCTAACGTGAAATTATTTGCATTCCCAGTAACACAAACGTGAAAATTTGCAAGCAGCTTGTATTTTCAGCATTCTTTCCAAGTGAGGTTATGCAAGATGCCTGCGTTCTTGAAGACACAATAACGCCAATCATTTTGTATTTTCTACATCACAACCAATAAGTTGAGCTCTAATAAACGTACAATAATACAAGACAGGTGGTATGAGCCGAGGCAAGGGAGCACACAAAGAGCAAAGCAGAACTAACAAGATATTACGGTTTATAGAAAAGTATTGCACCTGCTCCAGCAATACGCTATGGCGCCATGTCAGACAGAGCAGCATGAGAACCTGAACGAGTGGTGACGCAAGGTCGCCTGAGTTGCCCCACCATAGCACAGACAATCATGTGACAGGTGGTGTGCTCACGACGCGAGCACTATTTCTGATGTACGTCACATCAGCAGGAGCGCTCACATCTATAAAAAGTATAATAAAATAGAAACTTGCGCTGTTTTATTTTTTAGTCCATGTCCTAAACCTCCACAAGTATGACACGTGCTTGCGCATTTACAAAAAAGTCTAAAAAACCCTTGATGACGTAGGACCTTATAACCAGCAGGTAGTCTGAAGCGCGTCTGCGCAAGCACACGTGGCCTTACGATTTTCTGAGCATGTGCGAGTTCTGGCTTATCATTCGCTTCCGAAGTACTATATAAATAATCGCCAGTAATACGGGGCATTCAGATGCTTTAGCCGTTTCAATAGAACATTTGTGTGTGTCTCAGAGCATAAGTCGATATAATCATGAGCTTTAGTCGATCCTTCCTCGTAATGTGCCTCCTGACTGCCTCGTGTTGTGTGAGGGCTGGCGTTGGTATGCATTTTTCTTTTATTTTGGGAGACTTTCCTCTATTTCATTACAAATGTATCTAACGCTGATGTTTTCAATCGGGTTGAAAAAAAAGTTATTGGGATTTAAGACTTCACGTAGACTCCATTCGCTTTGAGTAAGTTTCATTCACCCGTACACCGTTGGTTTTTTGCCGCGTACGTTGCAGGTCTATTACAAGCAACCTACGCATGTCACGCCGTTAGTGACCTATATAAAAAAATCGAAAAGATTTACCGCCCTGAAAAAAGCATGACGTGGTTCAACACCATGTTGAATTTTGAGAGTATACTGAAGGGAGAAAACAAACAATATATATTCACCACTCCATGACTTTCTGTTACCATACCCGAGGCTATCGAGTAACTTACAAACATTTATCTCCTCCTAACGCCGGAAATCATGGTGCGAAATAGTATATATCTTTGAAGAAGTGTAATGTCACCAGTGTTCTTGTTTTCTGTAAGTTCTGCAACGTTGTAGACACAGACTAATCGCTAAGCGCATGTTCTATTGCTAATAGTTACTGCTCTTGGCAATTTCTGAGGGTAGCAATAAGATGAAATGCAGCAACTTTAAAATGTGCATTTGAATATCTGTGAATAATAATGTGTTTTGGTTTACATACTACTTGTGTTGCTTTTCCGCAATTTTTTCTGATAAACGTGTTACGATGACTTCATTGCGCATGGACAGCGCATACATGGTTTTGATGCTATTTCTGCATTAAGTACCCAAATTCCTCAATTATGTGTGCAACCTCAGAGAAAAATTTCGTGATACCAGTGCCTACAGAGCCACACAGAAATTTTACATGCTGGCTTTCATGTGAGCAAATACGTTTTATTTCATTACTGATGAAATATCATAGTACAGAAGGTGGACATTTGAATAACAAAAAACTTTTGTAATATGTATCTAATGCAATAAAAAGAGCTATACCTGTCTAACATCCTAATACGATCTTAGGTGTTCCGTGTTCATAAGACGGTGGTATTCCACGTCGTGCTCTGTACCTTTTGAGCAGCCCCCCCCCCCCCTAGGTTTCAGAAAAAGAAAATAGTCATAACCACAATTCATCATTGATCATTCTCAGTACCCATTCCAATTTTTTTGACGAAAGACTTGGTGGTCTTTCGGACTTGAAGAGAAAACTAGGAAAACCGGCCTGCAATCCGTTAACACAAATTTGGAAGATCTGTAGTGCCTTTTGACTGTGTCAGCTGAGCATGAACGTGATACCTACCCCCCCCCAAAAAAAAAACATGATGAATCAGGATTTTTTTTTCAGAATGTTAGAATAGAACTAGTGTCAAAGTACAACTCGTGGTGACGGACGTAACGTGAAGCAGAAGCGAACCTTTGTTGGATGGAGTGCTGCGATTGGCTAATAAATAAGTAAGAACAGCCAGTAAGCTTCCACCACTGTATATATTCGTGCTCTCATAGCGTACACGAATGGATACGTCTAAACTAAACATGGTGTAGTAGCCAAAAACCTACTCGCATACGTTTTTCATAAAAACGACGCACTTTTCACATGCACCGACGACCTTCTTCCTTAACGCATTTATGTGGGCCCAATACGAATCGAACGTAACGTGGGACATACGCAGTGCAGGTTGCGCAGGCCCGCTTTTGGAAATGGAATAACCGGTAAATGTTAGAGATTAAAGATTAGTGCCCTGCCTATGTCGACTTTCATATGCGCATTTTTAAAGAAAAATGGCATATTTTTGTAAAATATATGGGAGGCAATTTACTTGTACCAAAGCGTCTTTTAAATGCACGCAAAATGAGATTCAGTACAGTTTGAATTGTGCAATTACCAAATTTTCTAAAAAAAGCGCACAAACTAGATGGTGAAGATGAAAATAGTTGTATTGTTATACTCAAATAGCTTTGTTGTAACAATTGACTTAGCAACCACGAACACAGTTCCTACAGATCCGGCAACTGATGCGGCAGCTATGTACTGACGATGCCACTTCGTCTGAGCCTGAAACCTCATCTGGCGATTCGACTCTTGATGCTGCGGACGCTACGAAAGTAAAGCAGCTGCAAGGGAAGCAACTAGCCAAGAAAATAAGAGTTGACGTTTAGAGCTTTCACGACGACAAAATGATAATTGATCGTTTATAGGACACATCCTAGGTTAATCTGCAAGTTTGTAGAATACCTTGTAGGTGAATAAGCTTGCACACTTTAGTTAATATGTGAAGGCAATAAGGCATGCAACGAAGCAAGGTTAATCATAAACTGACTTCTTGATAACCCATTGCGCTAAAATTGCCTCAAAGTTTAAAAAGTGGTTTGTAGGCAGTGCATTGGGCCAGTTTAAAAATCGTTATGAACGTTGTAGCTTTGTTGGGTTGCGGAACTCAGGCGTCTTTAGTTCAGCATTGTAGGTACATTAAAAATTATTGCCCATTGAAACTTCCATTACATGTATCTATGAGTCGAAATCCTACGCACCGCAATGGCGGGCACAAAGGCAAACCTAACAGAGCCCACTTGTTGTTTACATTAGGGTTCATGAAATATAGCAGACAAAGCTATTTACATATCAAATACTGTCCTTGCAGAATGTGTATTTATTGTTTTGTAGCTTTATCTGATAGTGCAGAGGGCTTAATACAAGTAGCCTGCAGAATACTGGAGAGGTGTTTTTGGATGCCATTTATTTTGCAGATGCTGTCATTTCGTAGCGATGAAATACGGTGTGAACACATTTTACAGGTAATGCCGCGACTGTGAGTGACACGCCCATTAGCGAAACTTCAGGGTCAACTCCGGAAGAAGCTTCTAACAGCGAGAACATTGGCTCAGAGACGGCGGACAATTATTTGAACCAGGACTGCATAGAAGTCACAATACCAAACATTTTGGGCATTGAAGCGGTAAGAATAAACAATCTGCATCAAATGTGCTCCCAAGTATTTTTCTTAGAACCTAAAGCTCACTATAGCAAACGCGACTGAAGAAAATAGTTAGAGAAATGTCGTTTCAATTACTTTCCCAAATGACCCAGATGATCCTATAAAATCCAGATAGTTGTGACATTATAGCCTAGCAATAGCTCATTTTACAGCGAAAGCTATTACAAGATCAAAGCTAGGGTCACGCGCGGCGCCGTAGTTTTGCGCCGCTGCCGCAGCCCGCGCCCGTAACCGCTATCGCAGAAATTGGACAAAAATTCAGTACCAAGGAAACAGTGGAGCTTGAACATGGGTCTGCTGCGTGCCAGTCCTCTTTTCTACCACTGAGCTACGCCGGTGCTTGAGACTTGTTCGCAAACTTGCCTTGGGCAGGCTTGATATCGGGAAAGCAATCGCGTTAATTTGAGAAATAAAGTGTTTCGGAACATATACAGAACATTAAATGTAAACAAAGTTTACATTTGCGAAAACTGTCATAATTTGGTGCATGTTAAGCTCACCTGAAAGAAGCAGCTATATTTCACCGAATCAAACCATTCGTGAATAATAAATATCTGTAACGTGTATTGAGCACCACTTTTTTACAGTTATGTTAGTTTAAGGTACCCGCAACCAGTTTATTTTGTCATCGATTTCATATTCTCGACCTGTTCAAAAACTGAAAAAGTTCTAGTAGTATTTTGTGTGACTTGTATCGGTTTATTTTGGTGTACTCGTGCATATTATGATGCCCTTATCAGCACCACACCTTATAAAAAAACATAGTCATGTGCATTTTTATTTTTCAACGTTATTAAAGACAAGGTGGTTCCGTGTTGCTGTGTCTTTTTTTGTTTTTTTTCACCCGGTATTCAAAACAATTCAAAGTGGTCTAAGACTATGGTGTCATTTTCTTATTCCCTTACAGTGCCTTAAGGATAGAATGAATTTATGCACAGGAGAAAATGTGAGTACTACTCATTTTGGGACAAAAACTCCTAATTTATGCGTCTGCTTATAAAGTCAAACTCTACAGATTATGTTGGCAAAACTGACCAGATAAACAAAAACAGGTTTACAACTGTATTCTTCCAACGACAAAGCGCATTGCTTTTTGTGCAAACACAATGTAAGCGTAGTGACAGCATACGTTGACAAAACAGCTTGAAAAACAACATAAGCCTTCCATGCATCGTTTTCACGATCACAGTAGTACTTTCTAATGTTGTATTGTGACGATTCCACTTCAATTAATCAGCTAGAAAGAAATTAAGGGGCCCCAACACTCCGCCTGTAAGAGTTGAGCGCCATAGGGATGTCTTGTTTCTAGTGCGTACTTTTTACACATGAATATTTTTTCCAGCTTTTCATGCACCCTCTTCGTGTCCTCTAATGCGTAGGTGCCGTAGCGTGCGTGCTTTTTGTAGTGAGTTACAAGATTTATACCATGAAGTCATCTTGATAAACACGTATTCTGAGGCCCGTTGGCAATGGGTGCTTGTACCAAGCATTATTACTGTAATATTTAATGTTGTATTGTGAAGCATGTACACAGAACGTGTCTGTTTGTAAAGCATCCGTTAGTTGCGCTGAATTTACAAGCAAGGCAAGTTATTTTTTCTTTATTCATAAGGAGACACGTGGGCCTATGGTAGATCATCCACTTGCCGCGCAAACGACCCGGGTTCGATGCACAGTCTGACCCAAACCACCCTGGTTAGGTCCCCAATCTGACCCAGGATTTTTTTAACGTAATTCTATATGCATCATTCTCAATTTTGTGGTCACGCTTAATTGTTGGCTCACAGCCAACGACGCCGAAGCCGACCCCGGAATTCCTACGAAGTGAGCTCTTGAACGCTGTTCCGTTAAAATTTCTTAACGTGCTTTCTTTGCCATACTGTGTTCATACTGTGGTGGCCAGTGCGACAGAAAGCAGGCTGTTTGCACTATTTCTTTGTTGCATTCATTTGCCTGAATTTATGCAGCCTATATTTACGTGCATCAGCAAATAAAGCCTAATCCTGCATCACAGCTGAGCTTGTATTGTTTATTTTTTATTACCGCGCAGTTCGGGTGCAACAATGAAAACTATAGTGGGATCAAACACACAGTGTTCCACCGAAAACACCTCTAAAAATATCAATGCGTTGGTCTCCTATAGAGACAGAGATTTTTTTCAAAGGAAAACTGTCAGGATGAGTGGAGGTTCGCTGGAGCTAGAATACACAAAATATACAAAGATTTCCGAGGTTTTCTACAAAACTTCAAATACTCTTTTCATGGCACTCTTTACGATTGGTGAATGATAACCGGTGGTACTGAAGAGCCAATTCACTTAGAACCTCTATAGTGAGGCACCTGTATCGACATGTGATGTGTACACTTTGCCCAAAATTACCCAGCTTTTTGAGTCACTTTCATACTAAAGCACCCTTTTGGCCATTGAATCAAGGAGTAGCTTGAGAGTTCATACGTTTGGCCGCACACTTTGGGGATGCAAAGCAAACATTGGTCTGATCTCAAAAATAATTGTCAAGTTTATATGTCTTTCAAACTAAGGTGGTTAAAATTAATCATATTGAATATGCCGAAAACATTTAAGTGAAAGTAATTTGTGAGCCTAAGTTGCATATGGAAGCGAATTTTTCATTTAGGTTTGTAATAACTCAGACTTCATTCGTAGTTAGTGATTTAGGTATTCATTAACGTCGTTTCAGTATTGTTAGAACCATTTATTTTTCGCTGTGGAGACTTTCAGGTGAAAAAAAATTCTGAAGTGATACATATGCGAGACGTAGTAGGCTGAAAGCCATGAGAAGTCCTCAGTCGGTGGGCGAAGTGTCACCCAAGTTGGCTAAAAAACACACACACATAAGGCCCGGGATGATATATTAACGCATATTACTAAATAAGAGTGGTGAAGGTTTGGTGAAGAAATAAGGAAAACTTCCAATGGTGACCAGCTCTGACCAAGAAAGCTTCATCTACCTCCCGCAACGTTTCTGAACGAAGTGCTACATAAACCCTCGTTGTGTTATAACATACCGTAGTCAACGACACAGCATCTCCGTAGCAGCTTGCATTTTATACTGGCGTCTCCTAATGCATTAACGTTAGCGTAGAACACCTTACGCAATAATGTGCATTGTCACCCATTTAGTTTTTCAGAAATCGCACCAAGCACGTACAAGTGTTACAGTTATTTCTCAAAATTTAAAGGGCCAGTCAACAGGCTCCGACTTTTTTTTACGCCCCCCAAACAAGCTCGCAACTCATTCATACGCCTAACTAATGCCTGCAAGAAAACGTATATCTGTAACGTCACTCTTTTTTAAATTTCGAGCTTTCTGCCAGCACGCAATCTCGGAGGCCATGCCTTTAGCCTTGTGTTGCCACCAGCCGCCGCTTGAGACCGCTCACCTCTACACCACTCAGTCACGTGTCATTACCGTACCTCCCATTCACGCGATATCAAGTCTGCTCAGAGGTGACTGAGAGCAACGTTCCTAAAACTGGGTAAGTTGCAAAACTTAGCGATGTTGCGTAGCGCCGCCGCTCCCAGCGACAAATGTGGCGCTGCTTTAGCATCTGGATTCACTCACTGCATGCTTGCTAGTGTCACTCCCGTAACCTCCGTCGGCTGTACATGTTGCAGTGGGTCGCAATACGTGAAGCTTCTTGCTGCCTGAACAGCTTTGGGCTTCAGCGTGCCCTGTTCTCCTTTGTATGTGTTGCCTGTTTTCATCATGCCCTCATATTGCGTTCTCGGCAGTACAAGTGGCTGCAAGAAATGAGAGACACCACGACATTTCTTTTGTGCCCCATTTTTCATGAAGAAGACATCCTGAAGACTTTCACTTACGTCATCAATAGTAAGCAGGTAAAAATCGCTAGAGAAATGTGGGACCCTGTCGAAGGATGTTCGAAGGATGTCGAAGGATGTTCCACGGATGTTCCCGAATCAGCCCGCTTACTTTCAAAACCCGTGACATAGAAGCAAAAGCTACCTGATAGGAATACAATACTTTCCAGAATATCATCGGCGAAAAAGAATAGACGATCTCCGAGAGCTAAGCTTGAAGACAGTGAAATAACTCCCGACATGCCACGAAAGAGTGGCTTCATTCCGATTCAAGACATAGAAAACGTTTGTTTGCCTGCTGCATGCTAATGGAAAATTGTTTGGAATGGTGAGACAGGACGTATTGTGGTTTTTCTAGTGCTGAAAGAAGAAAAATAGCGCTGTTTGTGGAGAAATGCGTAGTCGTCGCAGAAGACATGACAGTCACTATTAGGAGCCGTCACCATGGCTTAGCCAAGTCACCCGGCAATGCAGATACCATCACTTAATTGGCCGAACTTTGGGAGAGCATAGAAAAGCTGAAAGTGTGCTTATCCCAATGCGTCGGCAGGCAGCTTCGTGAGTAATGACTACGAAGTGCTCACCGATACCTCAGAGTGCGGTCCCTGCTCCAAGGTTTGGCTTCAGTGGCGTTAATAGGTTTCACTTGAGAAACTGAAGAAAGAGCAGAGGAAAGACATGCACAAGAAAAGGGCCGCATGAGCAGCTTCTTGGCGGCGTGACTAAAAAATGTGACAGACATGAAAAAAAAAGCTGCATGACTACACAACCAGACAAAAGCCACGGAATTGCTCCACATAGTTGTAATTTACTTTAAAGCGTGAAAACCGGTCCCAATAAAAGATACAAGACACTGGGATTAGGTTTTTCGCACATAAAATTCAATTGCAAACGTACACCAACTATCAACCAACGGACAGACTGGTATGTTATGCTATATGTATCAAGCATCGTTTATCGGGGGCAGTTCAGAAAGCCATAATCATACTGTGTTTGCCTTACACCGCTAAATATTACGCAGTATTAAGTTTCTGCAGCAGCACAACAACAAATCCCGATAATATACTTTTGGCAAAACTTTTTCACAACGGCCGCCACGGCGTATTGCCACGACGACTACGCGTTTTCGTCGGCTAGCGGAAGCTTGTTGCGCCGCCAGCGCCACTAAACCGGATGCTGTCCCGGCCCCGTGTGACGGGTCGTCTTACGCGAAGAGTTTCGCAACTTACCTAGTTCTAGAAACGTTGACCGGCAGAGCATTGCTGTGTTCGCAGGGGGAGGCCACCAGAGGCGTTCGCCTTCGTACCGCAGGGGGAGGGTAAATTCAGAGGGTAGGGCAGCACGTTCGCGGCTCACGTAGCAGTTAAAAGTTGGAAAGTTAAACCCCACAAATCAATCAATCACGGTGGTGGCACCTACCCATCACTTTAAGTTCTACACCTTATCACCTCAGAGACAGGCGTGCATGGCGCGCGCCCAGTTTTCCAAGACAACTGCCAGATAGCGTTCATGTCTCACGTGTGACGTGGCTTGATGCGCTCATTCACCTCCACTGCACGCTCAAGAAACTCTAACGCAGCGCCTCACCAGTCACCAATTTTCTCGCGCAGAACATCTAATAAACGTTTTGTTCATTTTCTCCAGACGCAAAACAATAGTTTCTCGACGACATTTGCAGTGTAACATGCAGATACGGGGCAAATTTTTTTTAGGAGGCATTGGCCTGACAAACCTCCTTCGACGCACAGTGACGTCAACTCGGCGACCGGCAACGTAGACTTCATTACTCTTTGTTCAGACCTGGTTTAGACTAATCGAAGAGCTGCGTGCTGCGTCAGGTCACCGATCGCCCAGTTGACATCACTGCGCGTAGAAAGAGGTGGGTCACACGCAGGCAAAATGCGCGAGCTTTTAGTGCGTGTTTCCGAGTCTGTTGACTGGCCCTTCAATGAATGCTACTGATCAGTGCTTAATGATGATGATTGGCAAACTTTATTCTATGATCAGAAAGATACCCTTCTTCCTTTCATGGGAGGGGGGGGGGCGAATGAAGTTCCGGTTTGCAGTGGTTCGTCATTACCGGACAATGAAACGTATGTGTCTGAAGTAGGAACTCCGCCACCACCTCTTCTTTGTTGAATGACGAGTGTCGCAGAGGATAAACTTTCCTGCTTTGCATATATTGAAGCACGAATACTTTGTAAGCAGTCACCGTTCCAACTCTCTCATCGTTTTTTTTTTGCAGACGATGATAGACGGTGTGTTACTACTAGTGAACGTAAGTTGACTTTGACTTTGACTACGTACTAAGTGGTTTTTATGCCACGTGCTAAATTTCTCAGTAATCATTGTAACAACGCAAAAGCAAAAACATGGAGCCGGTCATGTATCTCTTCTGTCATTTAGTTTAATATTTAGAATAAGTAAGTACTGCCGTGATATTTTCAACTACTTGATATGATGAAAATCAACGAGAATACATACCTAATATAACCGCTTGGACTGCTTGTTAGTCTTGCCTGTTTGTGATGCGTAACTCGACAAAGAATGTGTTGTATCTGGTCACTAGTGCTGAGGATACTCGCAAAAGCACGAAGGAAAATGCCTACTCACCTCGCAATGTATGTGTTTACGTATCCAGTAATTTTGCACTTTTTGGTGTGGGACTATTCGAGGCATCGCGTAGAAGGAGCATAGACACGAAAACAGGCTAGTCGACAAACTACAGAATGTGCTCTGTGTGCTTTAAAAAATGTTTTACCAGCGTTCAAACAGACCATACAAATTACCAGCGAACTGTATAGTTATTAAAATTTAGAAACTATTTGTGGCTCCCTTCTGAGGCTTTTTGCGATAACTATTAGCCACAGTCAGGATACGTGACTTTACCTTACCTTAGCAACCATTGAACTATATCGCGATGTTTGCAGAAATAACTTGTCACCAATGAAAAAAAAAGAAAAAAAAACAAGCAAGCACTTCGTCGTGATAGGGTCGCTCATGAGAAAGATGATGTAGAATAATTTACAACTTATTAAATTTCAGTGCACCGTGATTGGTGTATTCAAGAACCTAACTCCAATGAGTGCCTTGAAGACTGTGCAAGATGTCCTCGTTGCTCTTTTGAAGAAAACTCTACCACCCGGTAAGAATAGCACCATCCTGTTTTACGTTCCAAACCGTGGAAGGCAATGGAATGCGATAAACTTACTTGGAAAACAGTCTTGCGCAATAGGGCCGTGCGCAAGTGCTACGAAAGGAAACAACGCCAGCCACTTTTTTTTTGCAACACAAAGCTAGCAGAAAATGATTGCTCATAAATATACACTTGTCATTGATAAAAAGACACGTTCCCAAGACTCGGATGCACTATCAAGGCTCGGCTAGGGCACCAGCTCAAGCGATTGGCTTAAACAGATGATTGTGCCACACAGCTCAAGAACGAATGATCGGAAAACGCGAGAGGCATATTTGACGCCAAGTATCTTGCGTGGGTATACTTGTAAACTGAGTGCAGAAATTCACCCATGCAAGAATTGTGCCAGAAACAATTACCAAGAATGTTTTTCAGAGATACTGACTGTTCAAATTATTGTTTTATGACTCCAATGCATGCATAAGTATCCTTTAAATATTCACACCACGACATTCGAGATCTGTACTGGCCAAGTCCTTTAGTACATATCGGTCTCCGCAGGTCGATGGATAGAAACCCGGCTACAGCGGCTGCGTTTCCCATGGAGGCGGAAATGTAAGCCCGTGTGCTCAGATATGGGTGCACGTTAAAGAACCCCAGGTGGTCGAAATCTCCGGAGCCCTCCACTACGGCTTCTCTCCTAATCATATGGTGGTTTTGGGACGTTAAACCCCACATATCAATCAGAACATATCGGGTGCATCGCGAAACCATGTGTACAATCATCATGGATGTTCTTTACGATATGGAGCGTTTCTCGGCCAGCTCGTCCCCTCCGTCGTCTTTATTACCATCTGCTAGCTCCCTGTTATTGTTTTCATTGTGTCCCAGCTTCCTGACCAACTGCGTCCGGCTGATAAGCTAATTGGCTGGACTATATACTGAGGCATTTAAGACAGGATGTACAATAACCAAGACAATTATGACAAGATGTGTTAAGACCAAACTAGTAGATGACATAATAAGAAGATAATTACAACGAAGCCATGTCAGGCGAAGGCGCATAAACACGCATAGACAGGCCGTAGTAATGAAGACTGTTCTGCTTAACACGATGTTAATTAAGAGCGGGCTCACTGAAATTGAGTATAGCAGGACATTCTTCGCTAAGATCATGCATAATAGGACTGCCTCAATTAGCATTATGTTCATGAGATAATCCTAATTGATACTTGCCTCCCTGGGAATTCACCGCCATCTCATTTAATAAGACAACAAAGTTACGGCACTCCGATACATCATCTACAATTGACGAACGTTCTATCATCAAGGCCCCAAGCGCTAATACCTACAAACTATATACAGATGCTGCTATCCTACAAGACGGCAGAAGAATATAATCCCTGAGTAGTACGCATAATTTTGTCAGTGGGCACCAGTGTTATCTATCTACGGAAGCCACTCCTTTTGTGATGAAACTTCAAGCCATACATGACGCAATCCAGGATGCCACCTCTAAGCTGCCTGCAATCAAGCAGATTGACGTATACACTGATTCCTTAGGAGCCATTAATGAGCTCAAGAAAGTACACAAAGTGATAGAGATCTGCGAGGCGATTCATAAAATGAACCATAATACAGCCACTTGCGGAAAAGTACAGTGGATTCAAGGCCATTCTGCGAACCCACACAACATTGCTGCTGACCAGCAGGCGCACTGGCCGCCATATAGACCTTCCAGCCATTCCCCTTCCACCTCAGCCCCTTAACCATACCCGTAAAAATGTTATCCGGCAGGATACACGTGCTCACATTCCATCGTGTGTCTGCTCTCTCCCCTCTCACCTTACTAGGGCGCAGGAAGTTGTGCTTAGGAGGCTTCGGGCAAGGTTGGCCCTTATGCCGGCCGGCCGTTATATTATCCTGGAACTGGACACATTTACGAGTTGCTGATACGTGTGCGTATTGTCCCACTCCATCAATGCAAGCAGATGTATACCACCTCATATGGAGATGCGAAGGGTTGCAGCTAGACTGCTCCCATCAACTCGTTCAAGCCAGCCTTCGCTACAGCGACACAGCCGGTTACAACCACTGGATACAGAACAACACACTCTACAAGACGCTCCTTCCCTTCATACACAACACCGGCATAACGGCGCACGTTTAACAAACATACTCGCAAAAATATTATGCCTTAAAGGCAAGTCATTGACGCAAAACAAACTAAATTCGACGTTATAGTTGAGGTGCTCATTAAAGCGTGCCTTTTCAGGCATAACTGTTCACTATACTGTTAATTAAACCCTACCTAATTAGTGCCATCAAACTCGATTCCAAAGTGACTCTTTCTTAATGCTGAAGCAGTCCAACCAGACTGACTTTACGAACCACCTAAAAGAAAAAAGAAGCTAGGTGATTTCAAGTTTCTCTGATGGCTCTCGCCTTGCACAAGCAGTGCAAGTTTGCACAAGCATGCATTGCCACAAAGATGTTTGTGCTGTAGTGCTAGAGGATGCTACTAGCCGAAGAATTGGAAGTGTCTCGGGCTTGGCCAACCATAGCGTGAGTGTGTTCCACAGATACTCTCAAAAAATGTTGTATTATCATCCTCATCATCATCATCACCACCATCATCATCATCATCTCCACTAAACCAATGGCGTAGCACTTGTCATAGCACCTAAACGCTACACGACTTACATGTTGTAAATATGTAGCAAATACTGAACATATACGCCTAAGATACCTTACCATCGCCCGAATGAAACGCTTGAGAGTCACACCAGCGCTATGACAATCCCGAGTTCAACTCAGGCCGTCTTTGAATCGACAAATTTCTAAACCAGAGTTCATGTGCCAATCAGGTTGAATAAGAGACGCCCACGGCACAGATTGGGTCAGCCCACAACGCTTGCTGTTCCCGACGAGCGCTACAGACGCCGCAGCGCTAGCAAGTGGGATAATTTATCGTCTCGTAGCGGCGACGTCTTACAATCAGTTTCACCTCGCTCATGATGCATCCCTCGCAGCCATGAAGCAAGCACGTCTGGTGACGTTTGAAGAGAGAAATCTTACAAAATACTTGCTTGTAAAGACATTCTTTCTACTGACTCATTACTTGACAAGAATTTTCCTAGTGGCGCAGCAAGTAACAATAAGCTGTGCATTCGTTTTTCCGTGATATTTCAAGAGAAGCAAGATGCACCACAGAATAGCTACGCGTAGGTGTCCTTATAGCCTTCGAACGAGGAAATGCCATTGCGTCTCGCTTGTTCGATTCCATGCTGAACGGTTGTGTCGTCTGTGATCGCCGAAACCAGCGTAGGCCTCGTCGATCTGCCTGCCGTCCGCGGTCGCCTGGAGCTGTGTAGCCCACGCCAATCGGCGCCCCGTCCTCGAACTCCTTCAATCACCCCACATCTTTCCTATCTCTTCTCTTCTATTTTACACTGGTGTGAGGCGATTGCTCTGTATCCTTCATCTGTCTTTTTCTACTATGTTTTTGTCCACTTCCCATTCCTAACAAGCAGCTTAGCTTTGTCACTATAATCGGCAGACTGAAATTAGCGCCTTTTTTTTCTTCAAAATTTACACTAATGCCAGTGCAGCTAGTAGAATATAGAATGAAACGTTTCTAAAAAAAGACAGCCACAAACGCCCCTGTGGTTGATGCGATGTTTGGTCGGCAAAAAGAAAGCGTGACAGTCACGCTGGCAGCGCCGAACTGCTGAAATATCTAGACAATCCCGCTGACATCACTGAACTCTTAAAATAGTTACTGTGTGGTGCTGACACGTTTGCCCGTGGTATTCTTTTCAAAACCTTTTCATATGCCGACCATGCATTAGTGATGCCATGCACGTTCTCGTAGCCGTTTTTATCGGTGCTCCTATTGCACGCTCCACGCTGTTCGAGTCTCATGATCGCCGTAAGGCAAGCTCGGACCAAATTCGTGTTCTTCATACGTGTATACGAATGCGCACAATTCCCCATTCACGTCCCTTATTTGTTTGATTACTCTATATGTTCTGTTTCATAGTTACTGCGCGCTGTAGATCCTTGATGCATTTCTTTTTAGTTTCTTTAAAACTATTTCGCCCAATCTCGCAAAATCTGCCGTGGAATGTTGTGCTATGCCCAGATATCTTGCTACATTTCTGGTATACGGTTTAGGTGATAATTTAACGCAACATTAAAAAAATAATGAAACGCGCGTAGGTGCTGATATTCTTCTCGCACGAGCAGACACGGAGCGGTGCTTTGTGAGAAGCATGACCTCGAACACTCCTGTACGCAAGCGTGTCCAGTAACACGCATGCCTAATGAATACATATGGCCACAACCCCATGCACAATGCACACAACAATACAACCACTCCGTGCCTTCTGCCTCAATTGCAGCAAGAAAAAATATTTATTTATTTATTTATTTATTATTCGTAATACTGCGAGTCTCTACTGAGACCATAGCAGGTGAGCACACTGTACATATGCTAATATAGCATCATGATATCATTTGCTCTCAACATTTAAACAACTAGGCATGCGACAGGTAACACTTTTGTAGCCAGTTCAACCGGCCAAGTAATATTGATTGGTGTACGAAAGGATTCTAATCATTCTGCTACCCAAAAACATTTGTCGCTGCAAACGTGTGAAGGTTCTTCATTTGCAACCTATTTATCATTTGTCAAGATGAAACTTTGTTCATCCCTCTACTCAATTTCAGTGGCTACCATGATGGAGATGATGCCTACGTTGTCAACTGACACGGTTATTGAAGATAACACCTGTCGTAATCCAATAAAAATTGGTTTTCCCAGCAGCCTAGGAAAGGTACGTATATAAGATATGAATTCAAAGCTTCGATAGTAGCAACAGTAGATGGAAAGTAATAAAGTTAAAGGATTCATGTCTTATTGCGGCCATCATTGTATTTCAGGTGTTTTCAAATTTGATGGAAGTTCAGAATACAGTCAAACTTCAAAACTACACAAATTGATGGCATACCGTTTTCGCATGACATCATAAAATTTTCAATGTTTTACAGATACATATTAAGTATTCACACCGATATCCGGGGCATACCAGTGCTCACAAGGTACATTTCTTTAAAGGAACCCTGAAACGGATTTGACGATTTTTTTCAAACACATTAGGCTGCTAGACCAAGTCCTAAGGGTAATTTAGAGACCAATTAGAGCTCTCTGCGTAAACTCTGTAATTTATTACAACGCTTTAAAGCTGCGAATTCCTCTAGATCGCTGCAGATCGCCGCGACTCGGCCAAACGTGTTTTCAACCGCCCATACACTAAGCGACACGCTCTGCCCCACTGACGTCATCGTTTCCAGCTGATCTGATTGGCTGTGGAAAGCGCAGCACGGACTACCGGTATAGGGTCGGCTGCGGGATTTACGCGTATGCGGTCCCACGCCACAGCATGACGCAGGCGTCGTGAAGGAGGAGCTTTGCCCCTAGCGCTCGAAGGAAGAGTTGAGGGCAGTTGTGGGTGAAAGACGGAGTGGAGGAGGAAGGTGCTTTTTCAGTACTCGTAGCTTCATTAATAATGGGTGTTTGTGTAAATATGGAGATCTTGAATTACTGTGATACCTCGTGTCTTGGTAATTTTCGCGCACTAGACATTTATGAAGAATTCTCAAAGGGCTGCATAATTGTTTGTTGTTAAGAACGTGAGTATTGAGAATGGCTTTCAGGCAAGTTGGGTAGTTTATTATAAAAAAAATGTGTTACTAACTTAGGAGCACTGGAGAACAATGTCGAAGTTATCTGTACTGTTGCTGGTTTTTATGGTGTATTTTTCATACTCGCTAGTATTTTAGCACTGGCCTTTGAGATGTAGTGGAACGTTTTGTCAAAACAGATGGCATGAATGCCACTTCGCGAAATAATTGCGGCATGAAATATTTCACCAAAACAAAATGAACAAAAAAGTATGAAGAGAGAACATTATATGCGTAGCATCCTAAAATATTTAAGGTAATTTGCGTTACCGTGATTAAAACCAAGTTATCAGTTACAAAATGCAAACAAAACTATATCTAGCGTTTATGCCACACAGACAGGTATTTCCATGATAGTGATATATTCATATGTGCTGGCGCCATATTTGTTACAGTGCATGGACCACACGTTGAAACTCTGTGAAAACGGGCAGACCGTCGACGTATGTATCTTCTCATTCAGTGTACCACGTTTGCTATAGGATAAATAGTGATCATAAAACTATCATTGCACTCTACTTCCCGCGACGCTTGTACATGACAGAGGCAGGATGAACTTCAGAGCGCTTATTTCACTTATGCTTAAGCAAAGAGCCATATATTTTTTTGCGCTGTTTTCAAGTCCACTTCAATTATTAATAATGGTTACATGTCGTGCTTACGTATGAATTGGTACTTGTGACAAAATATGACCTAACAGTCAAATTACTTTATAAAGACACATCCCAGGATTTTCTGACGAAATGTTTCCGGTGTTATTTTAAGACAAAACGCAGGCAGATTCCACTCATTCTCGGAGTAGACATCATGTGAATAAGCAGGAAAGTAGTATTATGTATCCCATATTTATTGCTCTGAAATATGCGCTGCTAGTTGATCCCATTTTGTGCGTTTTGAGTAGTTATCAGCATATATTCTGGGAAGGCCCAACTCCGTCGCGGTCGTCTAGTGGTTAATGTACTCGGCTGCTCACCCGAAGGTCGCGTGATTGAATCCCGGCTGTGGCGGCTGCATTTTCGATGGAGGCAGAATTGTTGTAGGCTCATGTGCTCAGATTTGGGTGTACGTTAAAGAACCCCAGGTGCTCGAAATTTTCGGAGCCCTTCACTACGGCGTTTCTCATAATCATATGGTGGTTTTGGGACGTTAAACCCCACATATCAATCAATCTGGAAAGGCCCATCGCCAAGATTTCTCTTGTTTTTTGTTTCGGAGTTGGAGTGGAAAGCTAGTTGCTGTTTGCCTTAGGCCTTAACTATTTCAAGCAGTGCCTATTCGGAGAAAAAGTTTAAATTCGAAAAGCCTGAAATGGGAAAGGGTGGCTCTATCTCCCTTTACCCTCCAATGGCTGAGGCATTCATTGTGGGCTTGCCATGGACGTCAACTGCAATGACAGCCGATAGGCGGGCAATGGTCCGACGTGACGTCAGTTCGTACTAGCGGTAGAGCACGGTATCGCGTTTTATCGAGATAAACTGCATGATAGGTGCTATGTTGTACATCTGATAAAATGTGGCACTGAGCACATTTCTTCGGTTTGAGCAGTTGTTGATCAAAGACTGGCGAGTGACTTATGCTGTATTCGGGTGGTCGTTTTAGAGCGCTCTAGAGCACTCCGGAAAGCGACTCCGTGTTCGGGTGGTCGAAATCGAGCGCTAGACGTATGTTCGGTTGGTCGTCTCAGAGCGTCGTACTCCACTCCGAGCGCCTCCGACTGCTCCGGCTCCCAAGTTGGAGTGCCGCCGAAATCTGGAGGCGATCGGGTCACGTGACCACCCCGGCCGCCGCGGCTCGCCCCGCTCGCCTGCCCAGTCGGTGGCGTTCGCTGAGGCCTAACCGGCGGTTAGTTGTGGGAGTGTTTCGACGCTTCAGCTACGCGGTATTCAGAGCGTTTCCTTTTACATTTTTTGAGATCAGCCCGGCCCTACGGTTACCCAATCAGACAAAAAAAAAGCTGGGATTACTATTCGGAGCTCATGCTACAACTTACCTTCAATCATAGCGAATAACAAGCACTCGGCTGATGTCGGGCAACTTCGGCTGGGAGCTAACGCGTCCGATCCGGAGGCCGCCATTTGTTGAGACACCTGGGCCGGCCTGGCTGTTTGCAGTTGCCGTTTTGGCCGCGCCGCAGCGCCATGGTCGCGTGCTACTCCAAAATCGGGTACGCGTTCGGTTGGGAAGCGGTGACTCTTGCTCGGAGTGGGGGAAGCAGCGCATCGGCGTACTCCGAGTCGGAGTATCAGAGCGACCACCCGAATACAGCATTAGGTTATTATGTAATATTATAGACAATGTTAAAAACACTGATACCGGACTCTGCAACCACAGTCAACTTTGCAGCAATATGAGACTATGCTTGAGTCTTTTAGGCAGTTACAATAACTGGCTATGTCCTGTGGTATAATACTTGACTGGGACGCAGAACCTTGATTTGATGCTTGTTATAGCGGCAATGTTCTGTTTTTTTGCCTCTCTGACATTGGGTTCTCGACGATGCTGCCGAAGCTTACCATTGATTTTGTTCAACGCAAGCTTCATTAGATAATCTTGAACGTTTGATATCGCTGTTTCTGTGTTGATAGAAACTATGAGATAGTCTTTGAGCCAGACCCGTGTTCCGTGGGCAGTGACATGTGGCTATGAGCCACACGTGATTGAAGTTAATGGTTTCATGGCATACGTTATAAATGTCTTACGCTATTCATGTCATAAGCGATTTATTGTGTTCATAGTGTAAAAAGGGCCTTCGATACAATCTAGTGCACTACAGTGCAAAAAAAAAACAATAGACGGAGCACAGACGACGACCCCAGGGCTTGTCATTGTCGTTTGTGTTTCGATCGTTGCGTGCTCTCGTGCTGTAGTGTACCAGAAGAAACTACGAACAAGCTTAGCTCACAGCTTCCATGCATATGTTGATATGTGTCAAGATAAGAGGAAGAACAAGAGAGCACGTAGGGTGGATGATTGGTAGGTGAAAATGGTGAAAGTGCCTTTTTCATGTGAAGAAATGCTTGGCAATAAACAGATTGCTTATAACTATTTTAATTCATAAAGGATAAAAAATTGAGAATTCAACCTGTATCTCTAAAGAAACGTTATTTTTTTGCGATCAATATATTCTCTTCAGAGTGTAGAGGGAGACAAGATATGAGCATGGATTTGAGAGATAGATTTAAGTGCAAAGTCAAGACTTAGCGATGACAGTGACTAATAATCTTTTATAAATAGGTTGACTTGTGAGAAATACAGAAGAAGAAACTAAAAATACAGAAGTTTTTCTTGTGCATGCATTCCTTGCCAAAAAGATCGACCATTGCTTTTATGCAGTAACAAACTTTCTTTCACAGGAATCGATAATAACGTCACTTCTTTCGGCCCTTGGGGTAAGTACATTGGAGCATTCATTCAACGAGTATTATTTTTTATAAATCATTAAAGGTTTCGTCTGGTTGGCACCTTATTATGCTCAGAGGAACAGGTGCTCTCCTGGGGATATTTTTATCAAATATCAAGTACCCAAATGTGCGAATATTTTGAAATATTGCGTGGCCAGCATGGTAGAAACATTCAGCATTATTAAACTTTAATTTGTTACTTTTCAAATATTTTCCCCCTCGTTTGGGGTAACCTCCCAGATCAATTTTTACCTGCCTGGTTAAGATATGAATCTGTATATACACACAAGCCTGGTAGACTTTGGCACAGAAAAAGTGCTGTTGCTGCTCGCAACTATCTCAGATGCCAAAAGGCTGGAAAGATGAACATTATCAATTTACTCGGTGTACAAATCTACAACAGCAGACTTTTCGTCGGCATCAACATATTTCATAAAGCTTTGATCGTAGTTAGCTCTTTAAACTTCACCACTTTTAGTGGCAATAGCCGAACGTGCACAATAAAAATGCCGAAAAAGTTGCGCAAATTGAAGAGATGGGTGATGAATTACTCTGATAGCGCGTTATGACAATACAACAAAGTTTTTTTGTCTCTTTAGTTAGTTTGAACGTTCTTTTGGCCCTTAAGCTGCTTGATTTGTACAGCTCAGGTGTAGACTTTTGTTTGCTGCTCCGGTCGACGCTTCAAAATGTCACAGCTTTGCCGCAAAAGCGAAGCAACGAACGCGATAGTAACAATTTTAAAGGTCACGCGAAGAATAGAAAGCAGATAGAAACATGCCCCACGTTCCTCACACACAACTGGCGCAGTAAACTTACTCACAGTTGCGAATGCACGCGAATAAGCGTGTCATTTGTTACTTCGCTGAGTCTGAAAAGTGCGCGCTTTTTGTGAACGGAAACTGCTATGATTGCAGTGATCTTTGTGCGCCCGGTAAATACAACAGAATCGTTCCACGTAAGGCCCAAGGCCAGCCGAAGCGTACGATCCTCCACTCCTCGCCACCGCGAGGTAAGGGCACGCGAGGGAGCGTCACTCTTCTCTCTAAGCCGGGCAAAGTACGCGTAGGAGATAAAAGGGGGCGCCGCTACGCGATGTAGCGACGTGCGCTCATTGCACCATCTTTCTGGTAATGCCGAAAACACAGCAGCGGCAAACGGTAGATATAAATAGCTTGCCGTTTGAACAGTGAAGCTTGTTCTCTTGGGTGGGACAATGGTTAACGCCTTTTTTTTCTTTGTGGCGTTTTCATATATATAGGTACGTAAAATATACGGTGCATGACGTCGACGCCGACGCCAGCGGCAAAATCTAGCCGAGAGTGGCCATATAACTGCTATCGCAATAAAAGCCGACAACGTGTTTTTGCAATGTTTTGCGTTAGCTCTATTGTGACTGAAATGAAAGCGCGGCCGCGTGCACTCCTACAAAAAATTTTATAACATTTCATGTACGAGTGGTGCTTTATTAGAAACTGTGCCACATAATTCTACCTTTGAAAGGTGTGAACTAATATAATGGTGTTTGTTATCAAAATTTTTTATTGTTGCTATGAAATAGGCAAAGTGGCGTAAGCATTTGGTGATCGCACGTCGTACAATACGTCTAGGGAAGATGTGCAAACGGGTGGATATTTCACTTCATTGACATACTGGTCGCTTGGTTTGCGACTAGAAGATCAACAACAACGAAACATCCCCCCCCCCCCGCTTGGTATTGTGGCTGCTAATTTAGTTCGCGCTTCCCACATTTCAAATGCTTCACAAAGCCTCGCCGCAGTGGTCTAGTGGCTAAGGTACTCGGCTGCTGACCCACAGGTCACGGGATTGAATCCCGGCTGCGGCGGCTGCATTTCCGATGGAGGCGTAAATATTGTAGGCCCGTGTGCTCAGATTTAGGCGCACGTTAAAGAACCCCAGGTGGTCGAAATTTCCGGAGCCCTCCACTACGGCGTCTCTCATAATCATATGGTGGTTTTGAGACGTTAAACCCCACATAGCAAATGCTTCGCAAAATAATACAGAATGGTGGCGTAGCATTCTTTTTTTTGTGTGTGTATGGGGCGAAGATGATCACCACCTTTCATGTTTGTTTGTGCATTTGTGTTAACTGTAAGTGCATATATAAGCACAATTTTTTTTAAGTTGACATGCCGTTTCAAGCACTCCCGACTCCTGGCTATGTCAATCACGCAGAAAACATATTATAAAATATTCTTCAATAAGAAAAGACTACTGGTGCACATAGCTGTTGTGTGTAAGTGTCGTTTTTGTTCTGGCTGCATTTTGCGGTGGCGCTGCCATGGCCCGTAAAAAAAAACTAAGTTGCCCAATAAGAAGTTCTCATTGAAGAACGCATGTCTTTGCTTTGCGCTCATTAAAAAGTCTCTTTTTATTCAGAATGATTGAACGTAGAAGGATGCCGTAGTTTTTGGTGTCGGTGCGTGCAATGTATCAACATTCTTTTTCAGTGTACGCTTGAGACAATTCTCACCACAACGCCAAATGAACTCCTCAGCATACTAATATGCGACATCGCAAAAGCTATGGCAGCCATTTTGGGGAACACCTTCGGCACACAACAGCTAATTGAGAAGCTTGCGGAGGGAACCTGTAAGTATACACCACTTAACAACTGGCATTGCAACAATTGCAACAAAAAAGTGCAAGACAGTTTGTACCCAGTTCGTCTGAAATAAGTTAAATTGAATATTCACAAGTGATATTGAGGCAATTACCATTGCTTTGGTTATTTTGCTTGGTAAGAAGCGAAAGGACCGCAAAAAACGCAGACAAAAATTAGCTTTCGAAAACGGGATAGTCTTGTAATTGTTTCGAATCATCATACACATTTTGATATTTCTGCTTCCTAACTGAACATTCGGGAGGAAAAGCTTAAAGGGAGGCAAAACGGGCTTCAATATCTTTTTGCAACTCGAGACAACCAGCATCACTTGGGGTGTCCTTATGAGTGAATAACTGATGTGAACTTGATGCCCTAAATGAAAATTTTTGCGTCTGTGTATTGTGGGTGACAAAACACGCCGATTAACGTTGCTAGTTTTCACTGCTAACGCTGTTCATTAACGCTGCTAGATGTGGTGTTATGGCTATATTCGCAAAAAAAGAAAGCTTTTATTTTCAAAGAAGCACATTTTTAAACTAGCTCTTTATATTGATACGTTAACCATAAAGCCAACATATAGGCGGGCGGCATTCCTATCATTGGGGCGGTACACGAAAGGCAAGAAGTGCTCCAGCTACACGTCAGTAAAAGTAGTTCGTACGTGTTGCAGGTTAGCGCCTCACAATATGACAGTAAAGAAAATTTTGATTACTTAGAGTTTGATAACCTTATGTACAATTGGCTTTTGAGAAAGGCAGAGACCGGCTAATAAAGCCAATCACTGGACATTTCAGATTTTCATATTATTTATCATGACCTTGTTATCAGTGTGATCTTGTTAACAGGCGGCCTTTGAAAAGAATTGGTATGTGGCTCAGCTCACACCAAGTACAGGCGAGAGTGATTTGTCGCGATTCGCATCGAGATTGAAGAAATTTAAACAAGCTTGCCACAATAACATTGCAAAATAGTGTCATACACGGACTATCGTGATTAGGGTATAGAGTTTTCGAAGCTGACAAAAAGTACTTATCGAACTGTGCCACACAAATCACAGGTGAATATTTTATCCTTTTGCAAAAAAAAGTTATTTGAAGCTCACGTTTGACCAGTTTAATTTGCATTGATTATTAAAACTTGCCTCTCTCATTTCATTAGTTGGATAGAGGTTGAGAAATACTAACGACCTCCTATAGAACTTTTCGAAATAATTAAGGGCATTGTACTGTAAAATAAAACTTTAGGGTTTCTCAGACTTTTTTCAACAAAGTTGTGGTTTCTATGCGTTTATTAATCACTTTGTTTCAAGTCAATTCATGTAACATGGATAATAACTTCATCTTCATGTTCTGAAATATTTTCTCATGCCTGCTTTGCTTATTTCTTTAGGATAAGGTTATATACGCGGTATTATAGTATTTATTATAGACTGCCCAACTCTCAAATTAACGTCGAAAGGAAGAGCTTCTGTATCACTTTCGAATAATCTTATTTGTGCAATAACGCACATATACAACACAATTATCTTGAAGTGCGGCAACTACCAGCTTTCAAACATTCATTCACTTACTGCTTTTAAATTGCCTGTGAAACCAGTGTAAACATCATTCGAGGGTTCGTTGCAAAGCTGCTTTATCACTGATCGTGCTCTGACAAATATTAAAGGTTACATATAAACTTTTCTCCATATTTACAAAACACACACACTACGACAATATTATTAAAAGGAACAGCGGTAGAAAATAGTTTGTGGCTGATTGATTTTAGAAATTTTTAGAGATAACACTTTACAGGCTAAAACAGTGCTTGAGCATAGTTTTGACCATTTGTAGCGTGCTTCACTTGTCGTTGAGCAGGAGTACATTTCTGCCCTCGCTACTGAACAAAGAAGACATTAAACACTGCCTTGTGTTATATTGTTTATCCGGAATTCTTGTAATGACAAAGAGTTCCTCTTTCGTTGTCTCTTTGTAGGCCACAAATCATACACCTCCAAGTAATCTCGGACATTAGGCCGTTTTCACGACCACGTAAAGTGCACTTTCTACATGAAGGAACTGGTGCACTTGCACGAGTGTCTTCCCTATACTTAGCCTGTCAAGGCACAAAGGCCGCGAAGTTGCTCCACCTGCTGTGGAAATATCTCCTGGACTTCTCTAAGAAGCAATTCCAAACCGGTTCTTACTCTAGGATTGGTGGCACAAGGGAATGAACCAAAAAGAATACAAATTGTTGATACATTCGCCATTCACATATTTTTTTACATATAAGCTTGATTTTTTACGCATAATAAACATTTTTCATTTTGTCCAAATTTTCTCCCTTGAATTCTTCGGTGTAATAACAGCGTTAAGAAAACACATGAACACAACAGCCGCGAAAAAAAAAAATTGGATACAACTCAAAATAACGCTTCTTCAGCGCTAATATCTGTAGCAGGATTGAAAGTTGGGCTAGTTGGGGATACATTATGGGCAGTACCAGCGCACGAACTCACGGGACGAAGAGAAGAGCCACACACAAGCGCTGAATCTCAATTGAAGAATTTATTGAATTATACAAGTTATCTCAACACATAAGGTAAAAAAACGTGCAGAACATGCGCAGAGGGCCGGCGAAGGGTTGTGTTGACGTCATTATTAATTTTGGGTTACGGGTAACTGCGCGGGTGCGGCATATTCCATTCAAACAAACATGCTACTGATTAAGATTTCTTCTTTTTCATGTAAAAATATTGATGTCTGACCATAATATCTGCCCATAATATCTGTCTTTGCGGGAAGACGAAGGCAACGCTTTCCAAAAAGGGCTGCCATGGTATAGCCTACACTTTCCAAGTGTTCCCTTGTTTTTCACCGGTTGGATGTATACGAGGAAGCGCCACCTGTACACGGCTGCAGGCGTACTTATGTTGTGGTTTGTGTGCGGTTTGTGAAGCTGAGTGGTATCTGTGTTTGGGAGAGATGCTTGGTGTGGAAATATTGGTAGGGCTTGAGTGAAAGCAGAATAAGTGAAGAAAAAATTACGCTGGTGCCAGTCTCTAGTCACTCAACTGTTTTTATTCCTACCTGTTTTGTGCTTTGTATGCGCACAAGTAGAAGGCTTAAAACAGGCAGCATTTCGACGCAACACCACCAGAGTAAGAGATCTAAACATTTTCTAATTATCAAACTGCACTCGGTGTGCGCTGCCTACTGTCTCTAAAAGTATTTATAGGCTGTGAAGTCAGCCCGGGTGGTAGGAAAATAAATTTTTGGAGTATAAAAATTCTGCTTTGATGCCTATGGCAACATAATTGTTGTTAAAACTCAATTAGGAAGTGTGTGTGAGTTTCACGTTTCAATTAGTTTGTTAAATTTGTAATTTTGTAAAATAAAGCAATAAAAGTTTGCTCTTTCATGTTTGAAATTATAATGAATGGGCATTCCAAAGCTACCGGCACATTGAATATTCAGCGAACCTGAGCTCTACCTATACCAAATTTAATATGCATGACGCGAATGGAGAACGATGGTAAACGACACGTCTGAACATGATATTCGTGGCATGCGTGTCATGTAAAACATGACTACCGGCTACGCTCATAGTGCGCTCGCGGTTGTTTCGCTAGCTTCAGATATAGAATTTTCAGTGTTACGTGACGTCAACGAATGACGAAGGTATATGACTGGCAAAAACATGATAATCATGACACGCGTGTAATGTAAGAACATAACAACTTACTATGCTTTTTATGGGCTCGCGGCCGTTTCGCTAGCTCCACATAAACCAAATTAGGTATCACGTGACATTAATAGACGACGAAGGTAAATGACACGTCCAAACATGATAATCATATGTGCATGCCATGGAAAACATGTCTACATGCTACACTCTATAGCCAGCTCACGACCTCTTAACTATATAGTTCCACAATACAAAATTTGGTATTACGGGACGTGAATGGGCGACCAATGTAAATGACGCGTCCAAACATAATGCTCATAGCATGCGTGTCTTGTAAAACTTGACTACATAGTATACGCTCATAGCCTGCTCACGGCTGTTCCGCTTGCTTCAAATACACCAATTTTGTATCAGTTGACGTGAATAGATGACGAAGGTAAATGACACGTTCAAACATGGTAATCATCACATGGAAGTCATGTACGGCATAGTTTACCTTCGCCTCGCAACGTTGCGCTGATTTTAGAGTTACATGTGAACCTTCCCCAGACGTACTTCACATATCATCGATTCCCACTGTACGTGGGATCTGCAAATTTCTCTTTCGTCCTCCTTGGGTGCGACTCAACATCAGCACGTTCAACCACTTGTTGAAGGCGACGCTTCTGCTTTATTGAATAAATAAGAGTAATAAAGACGAAATAACAATTAAGCATTCCCGAAACATACGCAATTACGCAATATTCACGCGATACCCCGACCACTCTGCGACGCATTTACTATAATTCTTTGTGGAAAGATTCGGGCACCTTTTTTTATTATTGAAATACAAAATAAACGAAGGAGTTTTTGTTACCGTTACATGGCAACGGCTATCCCTTTCGACTAGAGTTTTACAAATAAAGAAGAAAAACAAAATAGCGTATATCAATATATACAGTCCTACATGAGTGAGAGCAAAAGTTTTCCTATGGGCAGAAGAAACACGTCGACGCCACGCTCTCTTATAACTTTTGTCCGCTCAGTAGTCCTCCCAAATCTTCGTTTCTTCGAAGAAGTGCTGCAGCACCTTGATTGCTTTGCCATTTGTTTTAGATGACGATAGGACTAACACTTTATTCAACGCAAATGGCCGATCGGGATCTAACTTATGTAGTTCCTGTCAGAGTCGCTTTCGATGTGTGTCGTGCTTGAGACAGTCGAGCAAGGCGTGATAGATATCCTCGTCATCATAGCTGCATGAACAATATGACGATGTTGCACACTGAATATGAGGTAGGACGTGCTTCGTGTAAGCAGTTCCGAGTCTTAGGTGATGTATGATTGTGTCGATACGTCTTGGGAGGTCATGGTCTAGATTAGTATCAACAGCATATAGGATCGATTCCATTGTTTTTCTTTTCTGTGAACCAGGTAGACAAGCATAATTGCCCCGCCGCGGTGGTCTAGTGGCTAAGGTACTCGGCTACTCACCCGCAGGTCACGGGTTCGAATCCCGGCTGCGGCGGCTGCATTTCCGATGGAGGCGGAAATGTTGTAGGCCCGTGTGCTCAGATTTGGGTGCACGTTAAAGAACCCCAGGTGGTCGAAATTTCCGGAGCCCTCCACTACGGCGTCTCTCATCATATGGTGGTTTTGGGACGTTAAACCCCACATATCAATCAATCAAGCATAATTCACCATTTCGTTATTCGTAAAATTGTATATACATCATATTGAGATACAGGAATGATTCACATTTGCGTAGAATGATCAGGGGTTTTCGCCAACTCATCTGCCACTTCATTTTCCTTGATTCCGCAGTGACTGGGAATCCTCTGAAATGTCACTTGATAATTCGACGCCATAGCCTTTGAAAGCTCTTTTAGTATAGCGTATACTATACGCACAGCATTGTGGCCTGAAGTGGCATTTTCCCCACAAGCGAATGCCGCCAGAGAGTCTGTAATTACCACCCATTTTTTTGGTGTCTTTGATAGTTTAATAAAGCTTATTGCTAGCAAAATTGCTATGAGCATCAACGTCGTTGAAGAGGTGAGATGGCCCAACCGACATGCATATTCTTCATGCAATTCCGGAAATATAAATGCTGATGCCACTGTTTTTTTGGCGACAGAGTCGTAAGGGCTCCTAACGATGGATGGATGGATGGATGGATTGATATGGCTGTACCCTTTAGATTTGGCGGTGACTAACGCCACCAAGCCATGGCGTTGGCCTCCGCTTGGTGACGCCCTGTGTGGAGGCACGCCATCTAGTGAGTATTGTTGGAATCACTGGAGAGGTCACCTTCAGCGGTGACCAAAGCAGTGTACACCGGCAACACTGGCATACACGCTGGCCGCCGGCCACCGCCACCGCGAGACAAGGCGCGAGCATTAGAAGCTTGCTCAGCATTAGAAGCTTGCCGAGCAATCTTCTAAAGCACGCCAAGCATGCGCGGAATGCGTCTTCATGATGGATGTTCGTCTTCAGCTACTTCTTTGCCTTTGGGAGCAGCTGGTAATAAGCTAAACTGGCCGGTAATGTGTTGGACGAAGCTGTTCAGGCCTTGCACATCACCATCATTTCAAACGTCAGCGTCAACGGCGTTGCAAGTTCAGTGACGTACTTTTGAAGGTAGCCTTTTTGTTTGCTTCAGAGCTTCAATATCGAAAGATTGCGAATGAAGCATCATCGTTTAAATAAGCAAGATACATTAAATATTTATTGTAGATAAGAAAAATACAGTGGGTGCGGTACTGACTAGGAGCAGCAAAATGTTTTAAAATAAACGATTTTGCCACAGTTCCTACGACTTCTCTCATCTAACTTGCTGTGCTTAAAGAGCCCCCTCAGCAGCTCTCAACATAAATATAAAAAACAAGGATGTTATTCTCTCTTAGTGCTTCTTGTGGTCCCTGCGCACTTCGTGACGCAGAAAGTGTTTGCTGGAATAACCTTTCTGTATGCTTGAATAACATGTCTAGTAATCCTCCTTGACTGCCACAGTAACTGTGATGTAGGCTACGCATGCGTACGTCGATCAATATATCTCACGCTTGCACATATTTTTTTGTTACTTGGGCGAAACAAAAAAAAAATATCCTAATCACTTATTATTTCTTATATCTGTTTGATGTTCACTAAACTGTTACCGTACCTGGCAAAAGTTTTAAAATCCCTAAGGATTGATATTTTAGCAGAATTTTCTTGCCGATAAGCTTACTTCGAACTTTAGTTAGACGTGGTAACAACGTCGTTTGCTGAGCCCCTTTGTCGGCTATCTCCCCAGAACAGCTCTGTGATTGACCTCATTTTCTTTCGGTATATTAGCACAGCGTATGAATTCACTTATATTATGCAACTTTCACGAGTAAGATTCTGGGATAATTACACATTAGTGTCATTTTGCTGCTGATAATTCTTGGTTTCAGAAAAAAAAAGCTGACATTCAATTGTAGCCCAGAAATATAATTATTCACATGAATGCTGTCTTTCGCTGGTATTGTTAGTGTCTACCAAAAACTGGATAGACAAAACATATAGTTCCGAGGACGTCTGCCAATAAAATAAATTGTATCTTTACATCCACAGCAGAGCTAGAAACATTCAAAATAGAAAATGCTTATTGATTACCTAAAAACTTAGAAGCAAGTTTATTATCAA